GTCCTGCTATAATGTGGAAGGGACCACACAGGGGTATGAACTCTAGGAGGCAGGGAACACTGGGTGCTATCTAGGAGACTGGGATATTTGTGAGGGTCAGTTTAGCAATATTTATCAAAATCTGTAAAAATAAACCATCCTTTTGACACGGAAATTCCACTTACAACAACTTACCCCAAGGAATTAATCAGTAGTATGTACCACAATGTATCTTTAAGGGTATTTATTAGAGCTTTGTTTATAATAGTGAAAAATGAAAACAGGTAAAGTACTCAACAGTGAGATTGCATAAATATATTATGGAATGTTCTTATTATGGATACTATATATTGGTATTACAAATAATGTAATTTATGATGACAGAGAAAAATGCTAATCTCAAGAAATATCAGTTAAGAGAACATTTATTTATATTGGATCAAAGATTATGTGTGCATTTAGAAACAAAACTGGAAGTTTATACATAAAACAGGTGGTAGGAGGATGAATAATTATTTTCTTTAAGTTTTTCTGTATTTTCTAAATTTTCTATGAAAAACATTTATAGTCAGGAAGCACTTTTTAAAAATACGCCTGATCATGCACTGACCAAGAGGAGATAAGAGTATCTAGAGTTTAAAACATTCAGGTGAGATTCTGTAGACTCACTTGCTGTACTTTTCATGAAGAAATAAATATTCCTATGGAGCCTCAAGTCAGGTCAAGTATGTAGATGTTCTAATGTACATAGAATGAACACCTTGGAGTGATGAAGAGGATTCCCCAGCCCTGTTAGGTTAAAAAAAAAAATCTCACAAGTGGATGAGATCTTTTTTAGCAACCAGAGAGTTGTCACTGAATCCTGAGGGGGATTTTCATCCGTGCGAAATTCTGAGCAGAGTCTTACTTGGTTTTCAGTAGAAAATTTCTCCCTCAAGGAAGTAAAACTTAGGGTCACAAAGTTAGTAAATAGCCCAGCTGGAATTTGAAGCCAGAATAGTAAGGTACTGTTAATCAGTATGTACTGGGAATGCTAGTTAAAGTTTTTAAAGTGGGAATGATGTGATCAAAGATATATTACTGAATACATTATTACTATACAAATTATTGGAATCTATCTTCTGGTGGAAAAAGTGGATTAGAATGATAAGAATGTAATAAAGCCCAAACAGAAGAAAGACTTGGGAAAATAGTGAGGGTTGACATTAGACATCAATTTAGAGTGATGTGCAGATTCACTAGAAGGTCAAAAGATTAGGCTGTCAACTCCCTAGAAGAGAAGAGTAGAAGTCCAGTAGAAGGAGGGAGTTGTTTATGCTGGTGGTCTGAATATTGACCTGGTAGGTGCCTGGTTGGAGATCAAGATAACCTGGTCTTGGAGTAGAGGAATATTAAACAATTATAGTATCAAAATGTTAGAATAGACATTACTGGGGTGGAAATTGTTTAGAATGATTCCAAAGGGAAAATGCCAGAACAATTTGTAAGTCTCTCCAAATGCATGGTAGGAGGATGAGACATAGAACTTGTCTGTGTTACTTGGGTATATCTGCCACCTTTGCTGGACTGTCAACTCCAGGAAGCAAAGCACATGACATTTTTTTTTTCTTTTTTTGGTTGGTCTTTGCTTCTGCTATGCCTAGCAGAATATTCAGACACATCGTGGCTCTACCTTTTGGGCACTGCCTCATCCATCACTGATATATATTGAAGTTTCCCACATTCCAGGTATGCCTTCTTCCAAAAAGAGGGAAATATACCTCGAAAGTAAACTTAGATGAAGTATTTTTACCTCTATTAGAGGACACAAGACCTAAAACTACTATCAGAATATAAGGGATTTAAAACTCTCAGAATCAGAGCCATATCACTTGCATGCGTTTGTTGGCCATTTGCATATCTTCTTTGGACAATTAACCTCTACTCAGATCCTTTGCTAATATTTTGGTTATTTATCTTTTTTACTGAGCTGTAAGAGTTCTTTATATATTCTGTATGCATACCCCTTACCAGATTTATGATTTGCAAATATTTTCTCCCATGCTGTAGGTTGTCTTTTCATTTTTGATGACAATGTAGCACAAACTGCTAAGTTTTGATGTAGTATAATTTATCTATTTTTCTTTTGTCACTTGTAATTTGGTGGAGTCTCTTAAATATTTTTAAGAGAACTTATTTTTTGGAGCAGCTTTAAGTTCACAGCAAAATTGAATGGAAAGTACAAAGAGTTCTCATATATGCCAATTCCCCACACATGTACAACCTCCCCCACTATCAACATCCCCCATAGAGTGGTGATGATTTGTCACAGTTGATGAATCTACATTGACACATTATGACCCAAAATCCATAGTTTACATTAAGGTCCACTCATACCGTTGTGCATCCTATGGGTTTGGATAAATGTATAATGACATTCATCCACCATTATAGATATTATCATGCAGAATTATTTCACTGCCCTAAAAATTCTCTTTGCTCTGCCCATTTATCCTTCCCTCCCTCCTAACCCCTGGCAAATGCTGATTTTTTTTCCCACTATGTCCACAGTTTTGCCTTTTTCAGAATGTCATGTTGTTGGAATCATACAATATGTAGTTTTTTCTGGTTAACTTCTTTCACTTAATAATATGTATTTAAGATTATGGATTCCCCTTACATTTTTAACATGCACATTTAGTTACAGATGTTCTAAAAAAAAATTTAAGGTTGTTCAATATCCCTTTTTCCGGAACAATATAAGGACTTTAGTGCCCTTTAAAAATCCCCTGAACACCTCTTCATATTTTCTGTTAGAACTTTAGTTCACGCTTTATTTTTTTTTCTGTGTTAAAATAGTTTATTGTGTTTTTTTTATAAATAGTTTATTGTCAAATTGGTTTCCATATAACACCCAGTGCTCATCCCCACAAGTGCCCTCCTCCATGCCCATCTACCCCCTTTCCCCCAACACCCATCAGTCCTCAGTTTGTCAGTATTCAAGAGTCTTTCATGGTTTGCCTCTCTCCCTCTCCCCCACTATTTCCCCCCTTCTTCTCCTCCTTGGTCCTCCGTTAAGATCCTCCTAATCCTATACGTGCAAACATATGGTATTTGTCCTTCTCTGCCTGACTTATTTTGCTCAGCATAACACCCTCAAGGTCCATCCACGTTGCTTCACATGGCCAGCTTTCATTCTTTCTCATCGCCATGTAGTATTCCATCATATAGATAAACCACGTCTTTTTGATCCATTGTCCGTTGATGGACACTTAGGCTCTTTCCATGTTTTAGCTATTGTTGAGTGTGCTGCTATGAACATTAGGGTACATGTGCTCCTATGCATCAGCACTCCTCTATAACCTTGGGTAAATTCCTAGCAGTGCTATTGCTGGGTCATAGGGGAGTTCTATTGTTAACTTTTTGAGGAACCTCCACACTGTTTTCCAGAGGGGCTGTACCAGTTTACATCCCCACCAACAGTGTAGTAGGGTGCCCATTTCTCCACATCCTCGCCAGCATCTAGAGTTCTCTGATTTGCTTATTTTAGCCACTCTGACTGGCATGAGGTGGTACACTTTAAAAAAGAAGTTTATATCATACTTGAGGCAATATTTCTAGGTTTATGGGCTAGTAAACAAGCTGGATGACACTGAGCAAGTGGCTTAGCCTCTCTGTGACTGTTTCCTCATCTTTAAAATGGGCAAAATAATAGTACGTATTTCAAAGGGCTATTGAGAAGATTAAAATGTAAATATATTGTCATGTGGAAATTACTTTGATTCAACAGTAGCCTCCAAGTATGGTCCTAGATAAACTATCAAAGATCTCATTGAACAGAAAGGTCCACAGACCAAATAAAATGCTCAGATCACAGTTTATTATATCAAATTGTTTTTTTAAATACTTATTTATTTTTGAGAGAGAGAAAGAGCATGAGCAGTGGAGGTCAGAGATAGGAGACAGAGAATCCCAAACAGGCTCGGTGCCATCAGCACAGAGCCCAACACGGAGCCAGATCTCACAAACCGTGAAATCATGACCTGAGCCAAAACCAAGAGTTGGATGCTTAACTGACTGAGCCACTCAGGCGCCCCTATTAAATCAATTTAAAATACAAAGCAAAATGTATGGGAAGAGAGATAGGCTAGGTAAACATACTTAAGGTGTAAGTGGGTTGAAGGATCCTAATAACTGAATTTCTGCAAAGTAGACATCTCTCTCTCTATTGCATCACCCTTCTTTGCTGATGATGTGGTTACAAGGACCAGAGTGAAAATTTGAATGAAGAGGCCCAACACTCTAAAGGTGTCTAAAAAATGACACACATTTGCGCCATTAGAGCGCTTGTTGGCAAGTACACTCGGCCAATCGCTATCCTCCCGTTAGCCTAATGGCAGCTGTGAATGTTATTTGGCTGGAAATTCAATAGGTGGCCAATTAAATATCTTTCAATTATTGTGTGTCTCATGTGCTTCATTTATACTTAGTGTCTCATAAGTATTTGTCGCTTCATTTGTTATTTAGCAAATCATGACTATTAAAAGCCATTTTGCCTTCTACCCCTTTCTATCTATGTTCATAGACTTACGCTCTACTTACTTCCTATCTGATACTTCTTAGGTTACTAACTTACTTATCTATGCTTAATGAAGTTAATGAATTTCATCCATCCCATTTGTTTTCTTGTCTTCCAGAGCAGAAGAATACTCCCAGATGATACAGCAATTGCATATCTTATGTAGAAATAACTCAATATATGTTAGATATTATTATTATATATGATGGCTTTAATATTTTCATATTATTGTCTATCTGAGAGTGAAGATTAGCAATCTAGTTAAACTTGCTCAGATTAAACATCTAATTAGAAATCTTAAAGTTATTTGGCTTGATTATTTGATCTGAAATAGATAATAAAGTACAGTCTATTAGTCAGAACGTTTTACTCTTAATCTAATTTATCCTCCCATAATTCCAGTTATATAGATTATTGGCTGTTACTTACAAGGCTAGTACTATTTTTTTTTCCTTTCCTACAGGCTTATCCCCAGTTTGTTCTGACCTACCTGGAGGAACTAAATGTACAAGTGGATGTGACCCAGACAGAGTATCACATTCACCATGTTGCCGGGGCTACAGCTCATCATGGTAGCAGCTTAGCAGAAGAGGTCAGTGGAGTGAGCCAGAGGCAAGACAGAAATAGATCTCTAAAATGTATTTTGAAAAGAGAAAACGTTCAAGTTGTTTTCGGGAGACAAGCAAGCGCAAGTTCGCATGTTAATTATGCTGATTGTTTAAAATCATACACATAATATAAATATCTATATGCACATTTATGTTTACATAAACATTCGTATATACTTATATAAAATTATTTTATTAAATAGTGGATGACCCAGCAGCTTTCATTAGGACTGCTGCCTTTTCTTCTGGCCACGTACAAATGGTTTCTGTGCTGAATGAGGCAGATTGGAGGAACCCCAAAAAGTATAATGTTAAATTTGGGGAATACATAGTTTAGATATTTCCACTCAATGAAAATTAGCTATATTATTCTTATATTTCATTTATTAGGTTCTGGAAAAAAGTGCCAGCATCCCTGGTCTGAAGCAACTGCCAGAGTCTTCAGACAGCCATGTAATGCCAGAAGGTTCTCTTGGGGAGACAAGGCAGCTGACAGTGGCACTGGTGAGGAAACTGGAAGAGAAACATCCTAAGGCTTCTGCTCAGAGGTAGGGCACTGACAGAACACAGCTTTATTGCTCAATGACATTCGATGTTTTCCTTCAGTTTCTTGTAAGATTGATTTCTTGAAGATTATTGAAGTATCTCAAAAGCCCCTTGGCTTTCAAGCACAGTATTTTCAGGTCACATTTGATGAAGAGAGGTGACATTTATGTGTATTTCATTAAAGTTTGATGTATGGTATTGTTTATAAAAATACTGAGGAAGGGTTTTTGTCCTGAAATCTCCCTAAAAGACTCTGAAATAACATAATTAAAATGATCCTGAGTATATATCCAGTTGTGAAAATACGAAGAGGTCCTCAAGAACATCATACCCACAGACAATCCTCTTTGTGTTTCATGAGAGATTATTATATTTAGATCTGAGGATAAGTGCACAATAGTCATAAGCAGAGATAGTTTAACAAATTGACATAATTTCTATAGAATAAAACTAACCAATGATTTTGCTAACCAATTGAAAATCACCCTTGGTTAGACAATAGAACTATTTACTTAATCCTCTTTATTTAATTGAAAAACTCAAGTTTATCTTTAGTAGTAGTAGTAGTAGAGCTATTGTTGATTTGTGTTGGGTTATAACAAAATAATGTTATAAATTGCAATTTCAATATAATAATTGTTGGAAATTAACTATTGACTGAAGTACTATTAAAGGAGAAATATAATTCTTACTGTTCTCACTAAAGTTCAACATAATTCCCAAGTTTGAGTATTCTAACTGTAGATAGAAATGTCAATTGCATGAAGAAAGAAAAAAGTGACAGCTTTTCATTTCTTTTTAAAAAAAATTCCAGCTTTGTTGAGTGAGACAGTGTTGACATATAACATTGTATAAGTTTAAAGGGTGCAATATGACTTTTATTTCAATGAAAATCTACCTTATATTCTTAAATTATATATTCCTGCCTCAGATTTTAACAGGAGGGGAACATTTTTTCCTGATAACAAAAGTGACTTTTCAATTTCTTATCACTTTGTTATTTAAACCTCATATTGGTTTTGTTGTTTTGAGTAAGATAGTTCACAGATAAATAAAAGAACAAATTTAGGACCTTTCTGTATTGTAGTCTGGGGATATCCTGGACCTGTAGGAAAACTTAGGTTCTAGTTTTTATTCCTGCTTCTTGCTTTTTAATCACATATAAGAATCTCAACTCAGGGCTCCTGGGTGGCTCAGCTGGTTACATGTCCGACTTCAGCTCAGGTCATGATCTCATGGATCGTGGGTTCGAGCCCCAAGTCGGGCTCTGTGCCGACACCCAGCTCAGAGCCTGGAGCCTGTTTCAGATTCTGTGTCTCCCTCTCTCTATGACCCTCCCCTGCTCATGCTGTCTGTCTGTCTCTCTCAGAAATAAATAAAACATTAAAAATTAAAAAAAAGAAAAAGGAAGACTCTCAACTCTCTGGCATCCTACAAAACAATCACAAGACCTCAGCTGTTTAGCCAGGCCACTCTGTTCAGGTCACTCAAATGTAAGTCCCTTAGGAGCAGTCTTTGAGGTTTTCATGTAAAACAGAAATTCAGAGAAAACTGGGCCACTGGGGAACTTAAAATACTGTTTTATAAGACCTTTGTTGGTCTATCTTTCTAGACTCACTTGGAAGCTATTTCTATTCTACTCTTTTTGGGAGCATGCTGGGAGCTTGTCATTATCCTGGGTTCTACTCAAGGAGGCACAGGTTCCATCTGCTCTCCGATTTCTGAAACCTATATAGGATTTCCATGTTTGTCTCCTGTTGGCCCTGGTACAGGTGGGTCAGTGTGTCAGGACACCAGTGATATGTATATAGTGTGTGGATATATATATGTATATAGTATTAGGGAATTTGAGCCAACCCCCCCCCCAAAACAAACATAAAAACAAACAACAAAGCAGTTACTGTTAGTTAACAAGACCTATCTGAGTTGTTAGAATTAAATGTCTTTAAATTTCCAGGAATGCAGCAAGCACTCAATGAGTGGTCTTTGTGAAAATGGCCTGAAAACAAGGAGAGTAGAAAACAGTTTTTAATAGGAGTTGTAGTTAGATTTGTGATTTTTAGTCAATAGGAATTGTTTGGGATTTTATTTCATAAGAAAATTCCTGGGGGCCTTATATTAGTGAGTATCCCTAAGGTTTGTGTCTCAAGCTACAAAAACTTTTCTAGGCCTTCTTTTTTTTTTTCCCTTAAAGCCATGGTTTTTAATCTTCATTCTCCTCTCCACCCCCACAATTTACCATAACAAATGTAATTTCAGTTTCTCTCCTCTCTTTCTCTTCCTTAACAAAGTTATTTTGAGTAGAGAGTTAAATACTTAGAGCAATTACTTTCCTCCCATTTTGGAAGGAATTGTTGGGCAAAATTAGAACATGGTTCTGAGTTTGGCATAGTGATTACTTTGAACCTTAGGTTGTCTGGTTAGGTTTTTATGCTGCCCAGCACATTATATTATTGCAGCTTTAAGAGAGAGCTTTACATTGTCTTGCTTTTATCAATGATAACTTTACAAAGTATAGAATAAAATCATAACAAGAAGTAAAAGAATAATGTAAAGTGATCTGAGTTGTGGAAATTGGAGAAAGAAGTAGAATTTTAGAACAAACACATTAATGAGCAAATAACCTGAAGAAAGAACATATAACTGAAAAGAATAAAAAGATATAGAAATATAAATGTATGTATTTCCTTAGAAGTAGCCAAAGAAGGAGAGAACTGCAAGTAGCCAAATTTGGAGAAAGACAGAGAGATATGGTAGTGGCAGGTAATATGTGAAAGTGGAAGAAAACATTCAGTTTTTAATAACATATACTGACCTTGCTTAAGTGCTTTTTGTGTATTATTGCCCAAGAACCTATGATGTATGTAAAACTAAGGTATTAATCTCTGTTTTACTGATAAGAAAATTGAGGGACAGAGAGATTAAGTTACTTGCTAAGGCCTTTCAGCTAGTAATTTAAGGCAGGGCTATCTGAGCCCAAAGTCTTTTTCTCAGTGTCTATATTATTCTGCCTAACTATTCATGTTCTTGCCTTGGTGATTATTCCAAATCTTTTAGCCTTTCAAATGGGGCCTATCATTTTGAACAGATATCTTGGAAAGGGACCTTTAAATACAGTGCTACAGTTTAGAAAAGGAATGGTAAAAGATATATCAATGTATGCAGTTTTCAGTGAAGACTAAATAAGAGGTAGAAAATATTAAGGGAGACTGACCCCTGTCTTATTGAATCCAACAGTCTAGATTTACTGATGTATAGAGGCTTACACTTGAATGGGTTAGAGATTTTTAAAAATCTCTATCTAATAATGTGACGGTGACTTATGTCGTGATTAAATGCCAAGGTATTTCTCACCTTGAACGATGAATCAGTTCGGCTTTGTATATACTAAATTTGGTGATAGGTAGCTAATATCTGTTATTTGTTGAATACCTACAATGTGTCAACTGCTATTGAAAGTACTTATTCTTCTAACACTGTGATGAATTTATTTCATTTTGTCACGATAAACTGATGGTGGAGGTACTCTTAAAATCCATAAAGATCCAGCAACTGAGGCTCAGAGTGATTTTATAATGTGCCCAGTCACATAGCTAGAGACAAGAGAGATGGAATTCAAACCTACAACCATTTGAATCAATAGACCATGCTTTTTTTTCTTACAAATAGTTTATTGTCAAATTAGTTTCCAATAGACCATGCTCTTAACCACTGTTTTATTACTCATTCCTAGCTTCTTAGTAGTATTTATTCCAGTGATTTTTGTAACAGAATGTCATCATATTGAATAGTCATCTTAAGTTATTCTAAAATTTTATGCATATTACATGATAAAAGTTTGATTGAACTATTGCCATTTTGATGGGTGCATTATTTTGAATTATATCCTAAAAAAAACTATAACAATCACCACAAACACACAAACCAGGCTTTCCAAGATTCACTTAATTGAATTTATATTTCAAATACCTGTGGAAAACAGTCTGATTGTTGATCTCTTTTTTTTTTTGTAATGTGGAAAAATTATTTTTCCTGCTGAAGAAAAGGAAAAGGAAAATCTCTTACTATGTGAGGTCTTTAAGCTGAAGTTCTTATTCTGTAGCAGATTATATTTTCTTGTTTGTTTTAGCAACACTAGAAATGTTTTTTCTCCCTCTGTCAGTGAGATCTATAAATGTGATTGTCTTCTTGCTTGCATAAAGTGAGTTATATGTACATTTAATTCTAAGCTTGGTCCAAAATAAAATAAATGCCATATTCTGGCATCTTTAAGTGTCTGGAATGTGTTTGTTTACATTAGTTTATCCAACGGAGCCCTTTACCTTATTCAAATTGAATAGGGGGTGGGGAAGGAATAGGACAGCTCACAAAGCACACTGACCCAGCTTGTCACCCAGTGACCTGTGAGAAGAAAATAATGAACTGTGAGTAGCTGTCATCTTAACTGTTTCTGACAGTTTGCCTTTGGGCACATCTGTGTTAGTTGCATTGGAAAGGCCTTTGTTCTTTTCCCACTAGTGACTTTGGGGAACGCTGAGGGGTTTGCTAGCTACTGTACTCTTAAGCGGCCCCTTCCTTCCCAGGGAAGTAAGCAGCTGCCACGCATCACACTGACATTTCTCTTCATGACTCCACTTGGCATGTACTTCACTCTTCCAAAAAGGAACATAAATATAAAAGTTCTTTGATTTTTTTCATTTTAAGAAGGTATTTCAATATCTCATGAGTTTTGATACTAACAACAAAGCAAGTTATAAAACATGTTTAGTATTATCCTCATTTTATGTGGATAAAGGTAAAGATAAATTGATAGCTAACCAGATGGGCTGGTGACTTGAAGGGAAAAGATATCAAATTATTGACAGCTTTTATTGAGTTTTAAATTTTTATTTATTATTTTCCAAATTTTATTAACTGGTTATTATATTTGCAGTTGGACAAAAATCAACATATGTTATTAAAAGCATTTTTAATGTAGATGCTTTTGATACATGTTTTATTAGTAG